CAGCCAGTCTGCAGACTGACAGGCTCCCCCCTCCCTTCCCTTCTTTCCGCCCCCGTCAAACCACAGAGCTGAGGTTTGAGCTCAGAGATGCAAAAACATGGAGAGCTGCGGTTTGATGTACGTTCACCGCCACCTGTTTACACTCAGCGAGTGTTCGGTGACATCAGCAGATTATGTTCGTCTTTATCGACGCTCATCGTTTTATTTTTCAAATATTGATTCCAACGAGGTGAGACGTTACGATGTGACGACGTGACGACGTTCAGTACGACGTTTTTTAACAAATCGTTCGTGAACAAATGAGAAACGAACACGGTTTCATTTGCATGAAGTCAAACTTAAGGTGAAGTTTCGATGAAGGTTTTGCGTCAGGAGGGCAAAAAAAACTAAACTTCATAGTCATAAGGAAAAAAGTGATCAAGAAGCACGGAGAGGTCAAGAGGTCAATGAAAAAACAGTTGAACGATTCAGACCAGCGTGGAATCAAAGTTAAAAAAAGAAAAAAAAAAGAGTTGCAGAAAAATAAAAATTGACAACAGAACTCTTTGGTGTTGGATAAAAAGATGAGGAACAGATGGAAGAACGTGATGAGGACGAAGACCTTCAGTCCAGCACCGTCTGGTCCTACGACCCCTGACCTACTGACCTACAAAGGTTTAAAGCTCACAAGAACCAAAACCAGCTGAGAAACCGGTGAAGAGAAACTGAAACGAACATTTGTTGTGAACGTTGACGTTTCTCTGACTTCACATCAGATACAAACGTCGGAACAGTTCGCTGTCGAATACGTTTTGACGGTTTTGAACAGAGTGACTGTAGCGTCTGAACTCCAGGTGGTGCCTTCAGGTTCTCCACTCTACACCGTGTACTGTAGACCCTACACAGCCTCCTACATGACTATAGTGTCCCTGTGCTGCGTTCGGGTGAAGCCACAGAAATACAAGCGCCTGCGAGCGGCTTCCTGCTCCACACTCTGCAAACGCAGCACAGGTTTGTGTTTATGTTGTTCAGAAATGACTCGTCACCACATCCTCTTCCTCAGAACTTCATCTTTTCAAAACAGGCCCGAGCCGCGGGCTCGGCCTCAGGATGGAAGACGGCGCTGAGAACGCGTGTAGAATCGCGGGGTAGCAGCGTCGGTCTGAAGACTGTCACCGTGAAGACTGTCGAACAGTCGAACAGTCGAACAGTCGAACAGTCGAACAGTTGAGCAGTCGAACAGTCGAACAGTCGAACAGTTGAGCAGTCGAACAGTCGAACAGTCGAACAGTGGAACAGTCGAACAGTCGAACAGTGGAACAGTGGAACAGTCGAACAGTCGAACAGTGGAACAGTGGAACAGTCGAACAGTCGAACAGTGGAACAGTCGAACAGTCGAACAGTCGAACAGTGGAACAGTCGAACAGTCGCACAGTCGAACAGTGGAACAGTGGAACAGTCGAACAGTCGAACAGTGGAACAGTCGAACAGTCGAACAGTGGAACAGTGGAACAGTCGAACAGTCGAACAGTCGAACAGTCGAACAGTTGAGCAGTCGAACAGTCGAACAGTCGAACAGTGGAACAGTGGAACAGTCGAACAGTCGAACAGTCGAACAGTTGAGCAGTCGAACAGTCGAACAGTCGAACAGTTGAGCAGTCGAACAGTCGAACAGTCGAACAGTCGCAGAGACAAACGTTACCCGTAGTTCAGAGCAACGACAGACGGGGGCAGAATTCACACGCACGCTGTGAAAATATTCTTCAGAATCGACTTTACGTTAGAGGTCACAGAGTGAAAGAGAGGACAGTGAAGGCATCGTTCAGAGGACAGTGAAGGCATCATTCAGAGGACAGTGAAGGCCTCAGTCAGAGGACAGTGAAGGCCTCAGTTAGAGGACAGTGAAGGCCTCAGTCAGAGGACAGTGAAGGCCTCAGTTAGAGGACAGTGAAGGCCTCAGTCAGAGGACAGTGAAGGCATCATATTTTTTTCGTACACATCGCCATGGTGACAGTTAAACATCCTGTAGAACGACTGAGGACAGTGAAGGCATCGTTCAGTGTTTTGGTCCAACCATGGTGACAGTTCAATATTCACTGAACACAATATGAGTCACAGAGGACGCTGAAACCACCAGCTGAGCTCGTACGTCAGTGAAGGCATCGTTCAGTGTCAGAGGACAGCAGGTGCTGCCGTGGGGGCGTCCTCTGAGGCTCCGCGCTGCGACCGAGGACTTCTGAACGAGAGGCCGTCTGTATTAGCGCGTGTGGACGTCTAATTGACAGATGAACCACAGACACCACACTGACACACAGACAGAGCCACAGGAGACACTGACAGCTGGGCCACCTGTCACTGTGGGAATCACTTCTGCTCCACATTCACACAGCTGCAGCACAAACCGTCTGGGTCTGTGAAATTCAATTTAGCCTTTAGCTAACTCTGGGAAACCACCTCGGCGTTAGCCTGATCACATGTTCCACGAGCCAATCAGCTGTTGTTGTTTCTTCTTTAAAAAAAAAACAAAAAGAAAAAAACCTAATTGTCGTCAAAAACATGTTTACGTCAAAGAAAGAAAAGTGAAACTGGTTTAAATTTTCAGGTTTTTAATCACTGATTCTGAAACTGTTTCAAAGGTAAAAATCACAGGCACGCTGTAAACACAGTCTTCATTCTTATTCTTCCATCGGTTCTGGAACACATCGGTACTGGCTTTGGCATCTGGTTCTGTCCGAGTCCGACGTTGGCTTTTACGAAAGACGACCACTTTTTATCGCTGGACATTTAAAAAAAAAAAAAATCTGGTTCTGTCCCTGAGGTTTCTCAACGTTATCATCCAGGGAGTGATGTCATCGCGGCGCTGGAGTGAGTTCAGTTTGACTGAGAGGAAGACGGCGTGATGATGACGATGATGATGATGACGATGATGATGAAGTCATTATTCATCGTGAATCCCAGACTCTGATCAGGAAGTCGAGGCCGAGCGAGGCGGGCATGTGCAGCGTCTCCAGGCTCAGGGCCGACGGCGTGGAGGGGAAGAGAAAGGGGGAGGGCAGCAGCTGGAGCCCGGGGTCGTTCCTGTCCTGGAGTTCACTCTGGACAGTGAACACAACATCAGAGGAGTCAGTGAATGCATCGTCTGTCTGGGTCTGGGTGTTCTCAGATTGAACTTTGAACTTCTCACCTGAATGTTCCGGATGAACGACATGGTGACTCGTTCCTCGAACTCGTTGAGCGGCGTGTAAAGATTTAACAGCTTAACGATCTGTGGAGAATCAACAACAACATTTGAATGTGTGGGAACGTGTCACGTGACACGGAGTAGCGAATCGTGCTGCTACTTGTTCAATGATTGGTTGATTTTTACAGGCATGGTATCATAGACATGGAGTGATTGGTGTTAAAAGGAAGCTAACGTTAGCTACGACAGTCCTGGTACAGACACCAGAGCTAACGTTAGCTACGACAGTCCTGTTAATCAAAATGATTTTTGGATTCAAAGCCAATTTTGTCCATTAAAAGTCCATCCAATGCTAACGCGCTAAACTACATCCATATCCTGTAAATAAGTCGATGTTTGTTGACTTCTTACAGTGTGTTGATTGAGGGTCATGTGACCAGTGATTGGTTCATGTGGTCATGTGATACGCTCACCTGCTGTGGGTTGAGGGCGGTGCACATGGAGCTGATGGCCTCGGCGTCCTGTGACGTCTTCTTCTTCACCTGCAGCAGCTGCGCTGCGTGAATGACGGGCTCCAGCGACGCCGCCGCCTTACTCTGGTACAGGTTGTGGCTCCGCAGCCACTCCTCCATCTGACTGGTGTTATACCTGCGGGGCGAAGACGGGAGTCGGTGAAAAACACGAGCACACGTAGGGGTGACATCACCGTGACATCATCGCGCCCGTCTACCTCAGCTGCATGCCTGTGCTCCAGGAACACACGTCTTTGCGGAGCAGCAGGTTGTTCAGAGTGACGGCGTTGATGCAGTGGAACAGCTGACGGATCACCTGACCCACGATCTCCGGGTCCAACCCGTGTTCGCTCATCACGCTGTGGAACTGCCCCAGCTGTCGGATCAGCGCCTCCAGGGTGTAGCTGGTCGGACCGCCGCTGTCCATGTCCATGCTGGACGAACGGTTCCTGTAGCCTGTGGGCTTCACCGCCGCCAGGCTGGGAATACTCTCACTTTCCAACATGGCCGACACTGAGGAGAAGGAGACAATTGGTGAATGTCGCCCCCTGGTTGTACCTTCTCCAACTGACTTTTCTTGATATGAACATTTTCTGTCAACATTACATCCATCCATCCATCCATCCATCCATCCATCCATCCATCCATCCATTTTCATCCGCTTATCCGTTACCGGGTCGCAGGAGCAGCAGTCGCTTTCAAAA